AATAATATCATTGATGAGTTGTGGATGCAATGAAGACATGCAAACAAATCTTTGACCCAAACATATGGTCCAAGCATGCTGCAAATTAAGGAAATCATTTACAGAATAATGTCCAAGTCCAAGGCTCAATTTTGCATTAAGGGAAATATTGTGCATGGCAGCAATGTTTTATATACTGGGCATTTGATTTAGACACATGTTGCTGTTTTATAAACATTTCTAGAAACTTTGAACCTTCATACATTCTGAAATTGCCCTAAGACCTTGTTATAGCCCAATCATTGCTGCTGATGATGCCCCTCTGCCTTGTTCTACATTAACTATAAAGCAATAACTCACCATGAGACAGGAGCCAGGCCCAATATGAATTTTATTACATGTCTTTACTCGGTCTGGGCCGACTTATAATATTGTCATTATGGTGAGAGAGAGAGAGAGAGAGAGAGAGAGCAAGAGAGACAGAGACAGGGACAGTGTCTGAGGGCTACACAAAAGCACCAGCTGGAAATGAGAAACACGCCAAATTCTCCATAAATTAACATTCACCAAATCCAGTGGAGAGAGCGAAGCCCGGATCTATCACACAAGAGCACAGCCTGATCCCAAAAATGAATAATTGATGACTTTGGAAAAGAGTGGCCCGGAAACGCCAAGGGGTAATCTCGGCATTGATATGGTAAACCAATGCTACAAGCTAGTGCCAGGGATCAGGCATCAAGTTAGAGTAGTTACAGCGATTAGAGAGCAAAGACAGACCCCTTATTGCAAGAATGAAAGTGAAATTCAGTATCAGTTCATACAAAATACAAATGACAATGTTACTGATCATCAAAGACAGAGTGCTTGGAGGGGGAAACCCAGGTGAAAAAACATAATGAACAAAATGCAAAAGGTCATAATATCATAATGTTACAATTGATTTTATATAAAGGTCTTGAAGGGAATCGGGTCTAATTTAAAAAAAAGAAGAACAAGATGAAGAATTAAGTATAAAAACTACGCACTTATCCCACTGATAATTCTGTCACATAATAAGGTTGTATTGATGGAAGAAAATAACAATTACACATTTCTTAAACTATTGGGTAAGATTTTCCCATCCAGGTCCAAGTATGTTATAAGAGGGCTTTCAATCTTAATTTTATCAACATATACAACAGTACCATTTAACACAAAAGGAGCTAAATGCATTCCACCTAAGTACGAACTTTGTTCCAAACTTAAACTCACCAAGGATTGGCTGCATAGACCTCTCAATGAAAAAGACCCAAACTGATCATTGGCAATTTGAATTGAATGCATCTTGATCCAATATAAAAGTGATTTTTGCAAAGCCTTTTTAGTGATTGTTTGTTATTTGGCACCAGTATATTACAACCCCTGATGCTGTTATTGTTTATTTGGACAGTACTTCTAAATAGCTTCTTACTAAATTCATTTTAATAAGGTTACATATCTGTTCGGATGCAAACACACAGCGCTGCACTCCACTGGGTTTAATATAAACATCAGCCAGTGCTGTGACCATGACTGACCAGGTGACCTCATAAAACACGGACGGGAACCTTGGGAATTCAGTCATATTGGTGAGATAAATCACCCAGCAACCTGGAAAACTGCAGTGAAAAAGCTAGGATCATTATTTGAGGTTGTGGGGAAGTGTAATGGTGTTGTAAATGAGTTGGGCATGCTTGAGTAGGCTTTGATATCAGTAGTGTTAAAATATTTTGTGCCAAAAACTAGACTTCAAACAAATTCACAATTCCTTTTTCTTGCTCAGTGTTAGATTTCTGTCAAATTGATACACTGTGAAGTTGGCTAACATTAAAAAATAAAGTAAATTGTAGCACACTAGTTAGGTCCAACGCAGAAATGAGATTGGGTGTCAAGTCCCCAGTATGCATGCCCTCACTAACATACCCTGACTTCCAACATTGAAACACATGTACTTTATTTATGTTTTGGTAACTATGCCACATTTTTTAAATGTGAAAAGATATTATTGTGTCAGTGTTGGTACTGTGTGATTGTCCATTGTCCACAACAGACCCCACCTAAGGCCCATATTTTTGGGATATAGCTCTGGTTTCTTGAAAGTGGAAAATGTAGGACGCAAAGTCTACATTTAAAATAAAAAAACTTAAACCAAATATCATATCGACTCAATGGACAAAAATGCATTTCTTTTAAAAAAAAAACAAAAAACAGTTCTGCTCTCACAGGCATTTACCCAGCAATTTACTCTCTCATTTACCCAGCAACAACCAATGCACATGCTACACATCAGATAAATCAACACCCATAAATCACATAGGTAGTCATTTCACTGCGGAAGGAAACCCAAAAATTAGAGGTTCCTATGTCTTTCTGTAATGTCTGTCATTGGGTTACTGTCACGGTTTACCTGTCATATGACTACAGAGCGCCCTGTGATTCACTGCTATGGGCGTTCATCCAGACCAGAGTGCGTTAAAAAGGGAAATTGATGCAGAGGTCTGGATTGTTACCAGGTCAAACGTATCACACAGGTTTTACGCACAGCACGTACCTTTTACTTGGGTCTCGTAGTCCGCAATGATTTCTTTATCCTTCTTATATTTTGTGGATGACATTGTTCCTCTCTGTGGGTTAAGTGAGACCCGTTGAGTCCAGCCTTCTCTTTGATCCAAGATTGGTCCTTAACTCGTAACCACGTTCCCCAATCCCTCTCTCTTCTTTCTCAGTCAATGTGCATTTAAAAGAACAAAGCTTGCGCACCGTACCGCAACAATGTGACGCTTTTGGTCACCTCTTGAGTGAAAACGGTGCAAAAATCACATCTAAGCTGCAGCAGCGCTTCCCTCGCATTCCTCGCTTTTCTTCCTCGCTGCAAGAAGAAGAGGAACCCCCGGTACCAGTCACAAGTCAGGAAAACAAAGGAGTCGAGAGCGAGCCCCGAACTACAATAACGACAACATCATGAACGGTGAGGGACGTCGCCGTATTCAGACAGACGTACGCACGGTGAACGAGCCACCCGAGTACACTCTCTGTCTCTTTCTGACAAATTGCGCTGCAGGGAAACAGGAATTTAAAAGACAGTCACGTGATTGTGATTCTGCTCTTGTCCACCCCCTCCATCCTATACGCTCCTTACGCTCAAACATATGTTATGCATTTGAGTCCAATGGTCAATGCAGACCTAAGACTTGGACATATCATTATAAATAAGGGTAGCCTACAGACATTCATGATATACGGTTACGTGGCTTGTACATTACTGTATTAAAAACTTTCAGTTGGGTACTTCTTTATAAGATGACATTTCCCTGGATGACTGGATGATTTTTCTTCTATTGACCTTCTCTTCATGTCATGGTATGCTAGATGCCACACATGAGCATACAATTGTAGTCTTTATCTAGGCTATATAATCTATACACCCACCTATGGTAATCGTTTATTAGGCTGTGTATCATGAGCATGCAAACTCATTGAACCAGTGTCATAAATGCACAGGGTTGCATTTGGTGCGGGAGTAAAAGCTTTGCCAGCCAGAGACAATTGGCTTTTACAATCTTCAAATGCTGAAACCATAGAACAATAGCTTGTAGTTCTGCTTACATGTTGTACATGTCTAACATGTCTGATCTGTAAGATCGTTAGTTGTACGGTTTCCTACTAAATTTGTATTATGGACTTAAGCAAATGCATTAATTCCTTTATTATTAACACTAATTAAGATGTGATCAAAATGTTAGTCTGCACAGTTTAACCAGTCAGTAAGTCAAAAGAGCACAAATGAAGTGGAGCAAATATTAAAGACCATATTATCTCTAAATCAGTCTTCTCAACCTACAGACTATAATGAAATGGCTGTAAGATGTTTGGGAGATGACCCTGTATTAAAGGTGCACATGCAACTTTTCTGGTGGAGGGTCGGCCAGCTGCTTGGTGCCATGAAAATATTACAGCTTTGTCTAGAATGTTACACAGTATAACAGTAAGCTTGTCTCCATAGACACAAGCAGATAATGCCTCTAATTTAAGTTACAGGTTAGATCTGTGGAGAGACAACCCCACTCACAGTAAGAATGCATGTTTTCTCAAGGTATTTTTGAGCAACACCTGTTGCAACTGAATAAAAGCAATAAAATCCCCAGGAGACAAGAAAGTGATGGACCTTCCACAAGAAAAGTTACACAGTGTACCTTTATGGACCCCCTTGAAAAAAGGGGGTCCCTTGAGTTGATGCATCTCAAGGGGCTGTTCAAAATAAATAATATTTTGCTTTTGTCTTGGGCAAATAGGACACTTTTTCTTTCTTCTCGTCTACAAAATAGAGTTTTTAAGGAAGTGACTTACTATACCAGTTCTGACACATCTGTTGGAGCAGTAGTGAGCGCTGTGCCAGAGGCCAAAGTGACAGCCGGCTGCTTTTGTTTGTATGTGTGTCCCACGAGAGCAGGCTTTGAGAGGAGTCGTCCTGTCAACATGCTGCTCTTGTTTGGCATCTCACGGGAATCCTGGGGGAAAAAAGAAAAACAGCTATGGTATTTTGACAGAGGATCACACTGTGAAATTACTGTTGCTCGATTACACCCTGAACATTATATGACACTCAATGGATCTGTGTGAATTTTTAAGTCTAGTTACTTAATAAAAATAATTAAGCTGCTGAACTAAATAATGCCACATCAGCGTTATTGTTATTTAAAGTCTACTAGTAGACTGTATCAGCTGTTACCTGGTTAAATCGTGCAAGCCATAAAAACAGATTGACTTGTCAGTTTGACTTCTCCAGAAGTTCATTACTATGATGTTGGCTCCATCTACTGGATCAATAGTATAATTACAGGATTTTAACAACTTCGTTGGAAATGTGTTTTTTGGTAAGAAACAATTAGCATATTCATCACGTCTGTATTATAATAAGAAATGTAAACTTCATTCTAGCTTTTTTGATATATTGTTACAGCCATAGAGTGCAGCATACAGGTAAAGACCATGAATCTATGGTAAAGACCAGACCAAACACAGTACGTGCCATACTTTTATTATGAAGTACTTCCGGCGGAAGATTTGACAGCGCCGTCATTCCTCGTGTTCTGGATGTATTTTGCGCTTTCGTACAAATAAGCTTGGAAAGGTACTGTTGTCATATTCACATTTCAAGCTTACCACATTTGTGTTGTGTACAAGTGCAAGAACATGACGTTTTATATATTATGTTTTTACTGTTACAACTTTGACCAAATTAAAGCTAACGCTAGCTAGCAACTGTGACAAGTTTGAATGAGTCTTTACACACGTGATTTTCCAGACAGCTATAAATGTGAAGTTCACTGTAGTTATGAAAGTATACCTCGTTTACAGGTGTGTAGCAAGTACGAGCTGTCATTGTTTTGGAGTAACACTCTCCATAGGCAGAGATGTCAGAGAGCAGAGAGTGTGCGCCCGCCGGTGCCCCTTGCCTCACCGTAACCATCGGGGCCACTGTACCGACGGGGTTTGAGAACACTGCTGCGGAGGAGGTCAAGGAGAAGATTGGCGTGGATGCAAAAATAAGCAAAGACCGAGGAAGAATATATTTTTCAATTACCACTGACAGCCTTTTCCGGGTAACCGTGTTACTGTTTTATTTCTTGGTGATGTCTTTATAAATATAGCCATAATGATTTTTGTTGTATCAATTGTAACAATCAAAAATCAGCGTTGAGCCTTTTCTTTATCAAAATCTGATTTTTTTTTACATGACAAAACCAGTGCACACGCATCATATAACTAGATAGTTTAATATAAAAGTAGTATAATAGACTATAATGTAGACCTACATTTCTCTAGTCTAGTCTAATCTATGACACACTCTCTGCGAATAGGTTCACCGTCTGAGGTCTGTGGACAATCTGTTTGTTGTGGTTGATGAATATGACCATTATCAGTTCAAAGAATCAAAGGTAAACAGAAAGCATGTCTTACGTGCTTTTAAGTGGACAATACGTTACTGTTTGGGTAACATTCTCTGTGGTTATCAGGAGGAAACATTGGCAGAACTGAAGCAGCTTGCCTCCAAACTTCCCTGGAGCAATGCCTTGGAGGTCTGGAAATTAAATCGATCGTTCAAAAAGAAAAAAAGTCATCGCAGAGGAGCCAGTAAACCCAAAGTTAAACCTGAGGGCGATGGTAAAGCCGAGGTCCAGAATGAGCAGGACGAGCTGTCTGAGCCAGTGTCTGAAGAACAGTTGACTGCTGACGTCACTGACCAGACTGAAACATCTACTTCAGATCAAGAGGAACAATCTGAGGCCAAGGTCATGAAGTTTCGTGTGACATGCAGCCGAGCAGGGGATAAGCACAGTTTTTCTTCTACCGAGGCAGCCAGAGATTTTGGTGGAGCTGTGCAAGAATTTTTCCAGTGGAAAGCTGATATGACAAAGTTTGACATAGAGGTAGGTGTGTCCTTGTCAATAGTACTGATGTAAATCACAATCATGAGCCAAAAAAGACTTGTCGGAACACATTAATATACAAAGCATAGGTCAGTGCTAGGTCTGAATATGTTCAGCATTTTTTCCACACAATCTAAAGATAGATTTACTTACACTGTGTTTTGTTAATAATTTTCTACAGTAACAATAGATTCGTTTTTTTTTTGTTGTCTTACAGGTTTTACTTAACATACACAATGAAGAAGTGGTGATTGGCATTGCCCTAACAGAAGAAAGTTTACACAGGAGAAATATCAGTCATTTTGGTCCCACCACTCTGCGCTCCACTCTGTGCTATGGAATGTTAAGGTACTTTTCTTTTGAGTGATGGAAGGTGAAATAATATTTTGTACAGTCTAATATCTTAATGAAATTATTTGCCCCAGCAACACCAGAATGCAAACCCCAGGAATAAAAAAAAAAAAGTGTTTCTGCTATAAAGACCATTTTACATTTATTTCCATAATACTTGTAAAATGATGGTGACCCATGTCTTCTTTCATAGACTGTGTAAACCACAGCCGTCCGATATTATACTTGATCCAATGTGTGGGACAGGAGCTATACCTCTCGAGGTAAGATAATTATAAATATTGTTTGTATTGTAAATATCTTGCCTGGTAACTGTTCATAGTTCATAATTATTCATAATCACACAAATGTTTACTTTTCTTTCTTCCAGGGAGCCATTGAATTTAACAATGCTTTCTACATAGCTGGGGATAACAATGACATGGCGGTTAACCGTACAGTCAATAATGTGTTCCACTTTCAGAAACAAAGAGCAGACAAGGGCAGGTAGGAGGAGGGTCTTATCTCAAATTTAAACTATCAGTGTAATTTTATACTGACTTTTATTTTTTGCCACAGTGCTTTCGGGTTACCCATCGACACAGTAAGATGGGACCTCTGCAATTTACCCATGAAGACAGGCTCTGTGGACATTATTATTACAGATATGCCTTTTGGAAAGAGGTATTTGTCACATAGTACTCTGTAATTTGCAGTAATATGCATATAAAAATTTACCTGTACCTCTGTTTTTACCCTGAAGAATGGGTTCTAGGAAAAAGAACTGGGACCTTTATCCATCCTGCCTCAGGGAAATGGCCCGTGTGGTCAGACCAGGCTCAGGAAAGGCTGTGCTGTTGACACAAGACAAGAAATGCTTTGCTAAGGTAGTATTACACCAGTCCATTTTCTGCCAAGAGTTTGTTGAGAGTGGTTTTGAGATAATCCCTGGTTCAAATAATTTCTAAGAATCTGTGTTTACTGGCACCAAACCGAACTTCCTTACAAGAAGTTGATGTTTGACAGTGTAATATGATAAGGCAAGGCAAGTTTATTTGTATAGCACAATTCGTACACAAAGTAATTCAAAGTGCTTTACAGAATAAGAAATACATTAAAATCATAATAAAAACAAATCAAAACATAGATAATCATGAAGATTAAAATTAAAAAAGAGAGACATAAATTGGAGAGAAGAGTGCGGAATGAAAACCTTTCAGTTATATGCACAGTTAAACAAATATTTGAGCCTGGATTTAAACAGCGTCACAGAAGAGTCTGTCTCACATGTTCAGGAAGACTGTTCCAGATTTTAGCTGCATGAACCTGAAACGCTGACTCCCCTTGTTTAGTCTTGACTCTGGGCACCAGCAGGAGGCCGGTCCCTATTATTTATGATAATAAATAGTAATAAATTTATTTGATGACTAATACACTTGAGGATGTGTCAGAACACAGTCAGTGTCAGTATATTGTACAAAAAACAAAACCATGATTGAGATCACGTCCACAGATTACACATTAACACAAGCACTACTCACAACTATGGGCTATGGAGAATTGCACAACCGTTAACGCATGCCATGGCTGTACCTTAAATGTATTTGGGTGAAGAGATAATTTCCTTTTGGATTATACAAGTAACAAATATATGCTATAACGTTTTATAAGTGGATAATTTCCAGTATCTGTATGAAAAATGTCTGTACATGCCTTTTCTTTCTGTCTAACAATGTAGTCCTAAAATATAAATTGTAATGTTTTCACTGGCTCAGTGCAGTCGCCGCATCATGGTGAAGTCATCTGTGCCTTGCCTTAGACCAAACAGAGGAGTGATTTGTTTATGTGTGTCTTTAGTTTGCACTGAGGGCTTTTATGTGTTTAGTTTGACTTGCCTGATGTTGCGTGCAGGCGATTTCTCGGATGGGCGGCCTGTGGAGAAAGATGCACACTGTATGGGTGAATGTTGGGGGCTTACATGCCGGGGTCTACCTCCTCAAACGCACCGGAGGTGTGTTTGGACAAACTCCTGAGGACATCTATAATGTACCACAGGGGGACAGGTCCTCTCACAGGGACAAGAAGAACAACTCGGAGACGCCCTAATGTATATCCAAGGATTACAGCATTGATCACATGTTCCTGTTTGTTATTTTTGGTTAAAGAAAAAATGGGAAATGCATATTAATATTAAGTATACAGTTTAGCTATCTCTGTTGAAAGCTCAGTTCTACATATTGCCATGTGTTTATATTAATAAAATAATCCTGCTGACTTTATACTTGTTATGTTACTTTACTCACTTGACTATTTCCATGTGTGACGTGCTGCTGTGTGCATCAGCTCAGGGGGCTGAAGTGGGTGTGTGACTAATGGTGTTCTACCTAATGTAAACAGGCTGTAGCAGGAATAAACCTCATGAGGTAAATGAAACTCGTCTGTTGCTTCCTGGTTGATTGGTTCCGGTAGTTGGATACATATAGGCTACAGAAGATTAAAGGCTCACAGTAATTAATTTTTAAGTAAAATTAATTCTAAAAATTTAGGAAGATGAAGATGTAACATCTACATTTACTGTATTTCCATTTGTAGATTGAATCATTCTCAGTTTTTGTAGCCTATTGTGTTGAAGTGCGCCTGCGGCACAGGCGGCTCGCAGTGACGCAACAGCACGCACAGGATAAAACCTGCGCGCGGAGCGTGGCGACGAACAGCGCAACGTACAACATGATTTGGACAATCATTTTACTTATCCAGGCGGGCCTCCTCTATTTTGCTCTAACACACAGAAAAAGGTAAGTTCAATTATGGATAGTCATGGGCTATATGGTCTAACTTTGTGAATGGTATTTTTCCTTTGGCTTTAATAAAAACGTTTAAAATGTTGTATTTATCGCCTAGTTAATATATTTTTAGATTTTTGTAGATGTAATAATAGACCTAATACGATCTTTTGAGTTTGTTATTTTCCAGGAATATGCCAATGTCACCATAGTTTCTAGCCTAACAAAGGCGCATATTTCGTTTCAATACAGGGTTGTCCCTGCTTCAGTGTGTGAAGAATGTGGTTGAACCACTACAACGCTTTAAGTAGATGGGAGTACCGTTTGATCGCGGGCTTTTATTGTCCTTAATTACAGTGACGCGTGGTAATAAATCATATCTATTATCCACGACTCGGCAAATTGCCATGTGCCTGTAATTGTGTCGTCAATACACAAGTGCACGTTGTGGCCTAAATAATATGGCAATAATAATAGTAAAGTATAAATGTCACAGCTGTGTTGATTATTGTTCTGTGACCTGTGACTTATGTTTGTTATACTTTTCTTTAGATACAAAAACGATCCTCCTCTGGATAAAGGTGTTATCCCTTGGCTGGGCCATGCCCTTGAATTTGGAAAAGATGCTTTCAAGTTTCTTAGTCGAATGAAGATGAAACATGGGGACATCTTTACTGTAAGTCGAAATAAAATTATAAATGTTCGTTTACTGAAAAATACTGTGAAAAATACCCTGAGAGCCATTTCCTCTCACATCTCTGATGTTCTGATTGGTACAAGTATATTGGTGCAAGATGATGAGCAAGTTGTTGTTTTTTTTTTTTTTTTTTTTTTTTTTTTGTTTGTTTGTTTGTTTTGTTTTGTTTTGTTTTTTGCTATTGCTGTCGCTGGAATTACAAATGGGAGATCACTGTATTTCCAGCTGATACAAACCACACTGAATGACATTTTTATGTATATATCTCAGTCCAACTCATTTAACACCTTGCTCTTTTTTTTGTTTGTTTGTTGTTGTTTTTTTTGGTGTATTGTTGCAGGTGCGTGTGGCTGGGCGTTACGTGACTGTTCTCCTGGATCCATTCTCCTATGATTCAGTCCTAAATGATAAGGACTGCTTGGACTTCTCCCGATACGCTGCAGTGCTCATGGACAGGATCTTCCAGCTGCAGCTCCCACATCACATGCAAAATAAAAGCAAAATGATAATGAAACAGTAAGTAAAACCATAATGGTGAGTTCCGCTAAAGTGAAAGAATTTTTAGGAACTTGTTTTTTTCTTTGCTGTGTTGAAATCTTTATAGATAAAATGTGGAATGTACTACTAATAGTTGTAAGGTAGGTCAAGTGCACTATGTAAATTTTCTGGTGCGTCCATCCTCTTGTCTCCGAAATGTTTTAGCTTTGCCTGAAATGTTCCACAGTATGTGATTGAATTGATCTGTCTCCTTGAAATCATGCAGTTCATGCCAGTTAATCTGTGGAAACACTACACTGCATATAGTAATTTTTAGCAATAAAAACACAACACCTAAGATTTAATAAACAATACAGGCAAAGAAATGTCATCTCCATGGAGACAAGCAGGTAGTGGTCCCCCCACCAATAAAGTTACATAGTGCACTTTTAAGCAAGCTTTTATATAAAAAAAATAAAAATAATAATAAACAAAAATTAAATAAAACATATTTTTAAATGTATTTGATTAAAGTAGGAATATGTATCTGGCAGGGAAAATACCCTCAGATTAATATCATCATTATCATTTGTGAGTCACAATTGTAAGCACTGCTCTTATGCTGTTTTATCTTATGGTCCTTTTCAGATACTTTCTTGGCATGAATTTAAGCGGCTTAAACACGTCTATGGGGCGACACCTGTACAGTTTGCTGAAAGCTGAGCTCTCTGTGAACCAGAAAGACTGGAAAGAGGAGGGACTGTTCAACTTTTCCTATGGCCTGCTTTTTAAGTATGAACTAGTACTTCCTCCCTACCAAACATACAAGAATAATCTCTCAGCAACAGAACATGATGTCTTGTATCTAAACAATTTACCCAGCAAGCTCTTGTCCTGTCCAGTGTTAGTAAACAGTAAAAAAAAAAAAAAAAAAGTTTAGAAATGTAAATATTTGAGGTTACGTTTCCATATGTAGTAAATCACTGAATAAAGTTACAAAGTTACAAAGTTACAAAAGTTATGAAACACTTGCTGCGTCACCTAAATGAAACAGGGGATTGTCAATGTGAAATGTGTGGGTTGCTTATCTCAGTGTTACGTTTTAAAGCCTTTCATCAACTTCTGAGTCATTGTTTCATGTTTTCTTGCAGGGCGGGGTATCTGACTCTTTTTGGAGGTGAACAAAACAACAACAGCACTGACCCATCAAAAATGTATACAGAGTATAGAAAGTTTGATGGTCTACTGATAAAATTAGCAAGAGGCACCCTCAAGCCAGGTAAAGACACATTTGATGACTTAGAATTGTAGCCTTATCTATTATTTTATTATATTACTAAGGCCACAAGGGGTCAGTGTGGTTTCAAAAGAACTGTTTTGTAATGGAAGTTTCAGAGTTGGATCATTTATGAAACTGCCAAGACTGCTTTTTAGATAATAGAATGTCCTTGCAAAGAAGAATATATTGTGGCTTTTTATAGAAAAAAATGTACCAGCTATTTAGACTAAAAGTTCTGAAATACATGGAATTTTTGTATATACTGTATTTTAGTCTAAAATGTGAATGCTCCTGGAGTTTTTTACAATGTGCACGATCAACTGAATCCTACTTTTTATGCATGCATTGCAAATCTAATTACACACACAATTAGCTTTTTACACACACATTTACACACATGATTAGTCCCCCAAATCATCCAGACCTACATATAATTAATAAAAGACTAAAATGTTTACATGCTCTAATATAAAGTACTTTGTATAGTAGTAACACTAACCTACAGTATAATAGAGTAATTCGTGTGTACTTTCTCAGACCTGTTGCCTTGTATCTGTCAATCAGTGATGGCTCCATTCAGTTAAATTGTTTATCTTGTGTCGATGACTCATTTGTGCTATGTGTTGTTTATCTGGATCTTGCAGAGGAGAAGAAGTTGGCACAGAGCATCCGTCAGAGGTTGTGTGAGCTCCTGTCTCCCGTGGGATTTGGGGAAGACTCGGGGGCGGGATCCTGGGTCCGCTCCTACAGACAGTTGCTCCAAGATGAGGGTGCAGACCTCGACACACAGAATAAGGCTTTACTCATGCAGCTATGGGCTTCTCAGGTGAGTTGCCGTGGTAATGTTGGGTTTCAGATGACACAATTAAACAAACCTGTAGTGTTTAAAGGTGTACTATGTAACTTTTCTGGTGGAGGGGGATGCACTACATTTAGTCTTCGTGAAAATATGATTACTTTTACTGGAATGTTCCATTAAACATTTCTTTCTAGTATTTATTCAAGTGCAGGTGTTTATATTGTTCAAAACTGCCTTGAAAAACAAGCATTCTTACTCTGAGTAGCCTACTCGGAGTAAGATCTGACCTGTAATTTGGTCTGGAAAAGTTATATAGTGCATCTTTATTTGAGACTGGCTTTGGCAATGTTACTATTTTTTATTTGCAGATTTGATGCTGAAATTATGTCCAGGTTCACCTTTTTTCTTCTGTAGATTTTTTATATCTTATAAGGCTGCACTGCTTCTAGTTAAGGATGGTGAAATTTAAACATGGGAAATTAACATACTCAAGTTGTGATTCTCAGTATGAAGAAAGTCATAAAATTTCACTGCAGTGTGTGACTGTCTGGCAGGAGCTCTGTTATTGAGTTGTTTTTCAGTTAGATTTGAGAACAATTAGCTCATGATACACATTAACCTGTAGTGTGTTGTGGAACAGTCTATATGCTTTTATTTGTACTGAGTCTTTTGCGACAAAGTTACAGTACGTAGTGCGTGTCCTACGTCCTACATAAATATGAATGTAATGAAACCAAGCTCTTAACATGTCATGTGCTGTCTTCTGTCCGGCCCTTCAGTCAAATTTTAGGACCTATGTGGCCCGCGAACCAAAAAGTTTGCCCATCCCTGCTCTAGAATCTAAATAATACAGAAGAAAGAGATGATCATAAGTATGACTTTTTGTCATAAAAAGTTGAATTTAGGTTCCTCTGCCCCAAAAAGATGTCCTATATATTCTGTTTTATATTCAGGTTGCTTGAGTTTATTATTAGTGCATATTTTTAAAAGTTCTGCTGTTACCTTATTTGGCTTCATATCATGGGGAATTTCTCTGGAATTAGCAAATGAAAACAAATTCAACTGGCTCTGAATCCAATTGAAAATATACAACAAGTCAAGAGTAGAAAGCATTTCAGTAAGTGTGTGGTAATTTAAATAAATGGACTGGTTGAGTATGATTGATTTTTTTGTTTGTTTGCTTGTTTGTTTGAATGGGAGTTTCCTCATCCTTTCAAAAAGAAGAGAGCCCAAAATATCCAATAGTGTGCAATGCCCCCTTTTACCAGAAGAGGTCACTATGTTTTTGTGAGTAGTACCGTAGTGTGTGTTATTAAATGTTAAATTGGAGATGTTACACAATATTGACTTGAACACTCAATTAACACAATTGTACTTATGAAATTTCTCTTTGTGGTTTTATTCCAAATGAGTAAGAGCCTGTGTCTTTGTTACAAGACTGAATAAGATTAGATGCAGGCGCAAAAGTATTAAATTCATTTCTGAGTCATTTGGCCCTGTTCTTGTCCTGCTGAAGGCCTATTCAAATATGTTAATGCTGACATTTGCTACAAACCACACAGACTTAGTCATTTGTTTTTCTGTTGTTTCCATTTCCATGTAATTGAAGGTGTTAATTAACCATAGCCTTGGAATGAACAAAGTGTTACATATTATTTATCTTTATACAATTACTAATTTTTAAGTTTCCAACCTAACAATATTGCAGCTTTTTAAAGTATTATTATTTGTAAAATGTCCTCTTCACTTTTTGTGGCGTTACTTTGACCAAAACAGTTGACAGGCTTGTTTTAAAGGTACAATATGTAATTTTTCTGGAGGAGGGTCCATCACTAGTCCATTATCTGCCATCACCTTTATTGTTCAAACATTCCCTGAAAAACATGCATTCTTACTGTGAGCATGTTTGCCTCTCCACAGATCTGACCTGTAACATGGCCAGATGGCATTAAATGCTTGACTCCATGGAGATAGATGAGTTTAATACAATGTTGTGGAACATTTCAGGCAAACCATAATATCTCCATGGAGACAAGCATATGGCAGCATCTTCCTGAAAAGTTATATAGTGCACCTTTAAATGAGTAAGAGTAATTGAATGTGACATATTCATTGTACATTATCAGTATTCAGTTAGAGTGTAGACCAAGCGTTTTTGATGAAAGTTTAAATATCTTGCCTTTGCCCTAATAATATAACACATGGATAAAAAAAAAAAAAAACTTAGCCTGTGAACATTAGTCACTCAAAAACATTGTGTAAAATGAATTGTTGCATTTGGTTATGTCAGAGTTATCAAACAGCTGTGTGTGTGCTGTCGCTAAGCAGCTCTTGAGTGGAGAGAGGCCCTTTATCACAAGCTCATGTGAGTGTTTGTTTTCAGGGTAATGCTGGTCCGGCTGCATTTTGGCTTTTGGGATTTCTGCTTACCAATCCTGACGCCATGACAGCCGTGAAGAAGGAGTTCAATGAGATTTCACAATCATCAGACACATGTTTACTCAATGTAAAAACTCCAGTATTTGGTGAGGACAACATGGATTCATATTATATTATGTTATTCCAAGCCATTTTGATGTCTCCTCTCTCACACAAATGAAACCTATTCCTCTTTCACTTTTACATTATCCATATTTGCTTTTTCTATTGGCCTCTCTCAAAGCTCTAACTTTGCTCCGCTATACATTATAAACCTGGCTGGCTTACATTGACATTCAAAACATGGGCAGCACTTTTGATGTTCTTATTCCTGGTACTTGTTACGTGTAAGTCTCTTATCACGAGACACACCTAACATACATTTCTCCACTCTTTTCAACCTGCTGCACTCTTCAACTGTTTTCCAACTCTCCATTCCTTTGAACTGCCTCCAACCCTGTCTTTTAAATCACGGTATGTAACTTTTTAGCCAAAAGACAGACAAAAAGTAAAAGCATGTTTTCTTAATACCGCCTTCACATATTTCATTAGTAACATTATTTTGTATATGGAACATCTGTTTCTTCTCAGACAGTGCACTTGATGAGACTCTCCGTCTCACTGCTGCCCCCTTCATCACTAGAGAGGTAGTGTGCGAGAAAACCATTCATATGGCAGGCGGACAGGAGTACCTGCTCAGGAAAGGGGACAGAGTTTGCCTGTTTCCCCTTCTGAGCCCTCAGATGGATCCTGAAATACACAATGAGCCTCAGGTTAGTAAGTATTGTTAATAAGGGCCTACAGTATGCAAAAGTGACTCATTTATTACACATACACGTACAGTTTTCCATGTTAGACTACAGAAAATATCAAGACAAAGGTGACAAATTAATAATATAGAATCTTTAATGACTTGTACATTCACTCTATTAGGTACACTGTTGGTAAGTTAATTATCTCAGGGAGTAGCTTGAGACAGACTTAAGTGTATTTAGCATTAGTAGTGGCTTATATTAGGTAAAGTTGATGCAGCTGACCCTGCATTACCCAGTGAGAGGTCACTTCCAGAGCTGTGGGCCATTTAGGGATTAGCCACACTGAGAGAGAAACAATGTGGGTGGAATCACGCTGACACTGTAATAAAACCAGCCATCCAGAGCATTGTGAAGTTACTAAATACATGTACCAAGAATATATATTCAGAATACAAATTTTTAGTAAAAATTGAAAATAGTGGTGATTGCATGCAAAACACTGCACCCTTAGAAAATTGTATGTTTCCTATATTGTGTTTTTACATTATTATACAAATGCAACTAAGTGTGAAAGTATTCAGAATACAGTACACTGATTTGATCATGTTACAAAATATTATTCCCAACATTCGTATTCCATAAAATGTTATTAATAGGACCTAATAGGGTCTCTTATCTCACATGTTTAAATGTGTTAACGTGGCAGAAATTCAAGCATGATCGTTTCCTGAATCAAAACGGATCACCAAAGATGGATTTTTACAAAAGAGGTAGAAGGTTGAAATATTACACCATGCCGTGGGGAGCAGGGACCAACGGCTGTGTGGGGAAGCAGTTGGCTATCAATACCATCAGACAGTGAGTATCAAGGACAGAACTTCATATTACAACCAAAATGAAATTGTACCATTGTAACTTGCTGTGCTTCCTCCTCTGCAGATTTGTTTACATGGTGCTGACAAAGTGCGAGTTGGAGTTGTGTCACCCTAACGCACAGATGCCAGAAGTTAACACAAGCCGTTATGGATTTGGGGTTTTGCAGCCAGAGGGAGAGCTTCGTGTCCGATACAAGTTGAAACAAACAATGAAGAATATTGTATGAACAACATATTTATACATTTCAGCTTATTGTTTATATGTAATGTGTTATATAATGTATCTTTGTATTTATATTTATCTGTAAATAAATTTAAAATTATTTTTTGGTAAATTCTTTGGTGGGGCAGTTTTTCTCCCCTGATAACTATTAAGGAAGCCAAGCATGAGCCAAGACATGAGTCTATGGAAATATCAGCTTGTTCTTAAACTGAATTCATAAAGGAGCATTACACATTTCCCATTGCAAATGCCAGTGTATAAAACTGAAAGCACTTTGTAAAGGTAAAGTTTAATTCTAAGTAAACAAATCCAGTAGCATGCACTTCACATTGACTACCACTGCCCTTAACAGTTTATACTGGGTACAACTATGTAGACTACAGTTTAAGTGGTCCCGAGAAACAGCTACTTATATTTATTGTGTTTACATTACAGACTTTGTTTTATTTAATCAATCATCCTCAACATCAGAGTATAAGTCACAAAGCCTCTGGGCTGTGTTCTCGGTGTCCAATGGGAGGGCGCTCAGTCTCTCTCTGAGACGGAGCTGCAGGGGTTAAACTGGAGGCAGCTCTTGTGGAGGCGCGGAGAAGGCAGCCCCTGCAGATCACTGTCCACACGCTCCAAAGACACCGCGTGCAGGTGGAGCGACCACAGCGTGCTCCCTCTCTCCTCCCGGCGACTTGTTGAAGGATAATATCTTCAGGAGGGCTTTGGTCGAAGCGGACTGGCTTGCATGTCTCTTTAATACAGCACATTGTGTTTCAACATGTCGGACCGCGGCTCATAATGCCTTCAGCTCCGAGCAGTCTACCGAAGATCTCCACGCAGCGCTTAAGTTTGTACGCGACCACTCATGAGATGTTGGCGGGCGAGCTACTTCGTTACAAACGGGGCACACGTACGTACTTTGTCTTTTGAAATAATGCTCAGTTTATTCACTTTGCCTAATTTTTTGGTTAGGCATGGTTGATTAAGTGGTTATAACTTTTCTTAGCCTTTGACCGCTAATTTGGAGTAGAAACGCATATTTCTAGAAAAGCCATGGTTGTTGCCCACACATGCGCAGTTTGCACGCCGGTCAAAGTGTTCTGTACTCTTAATCAAAGTTGATAATCAGGGTGAGAATTAGTCTTGCCTCCATCAGTAATCCCTCCGGAGAACAGTCCGCTCTGGAGATGCCATTCACAACTAAAGCAGACATTTTTTTTTTTTTTTTTTTGAATCAGGAAAGAGTGCGGCGAATTCAGCACCACAGACAGCGCACAGTGGATGGATAGACGGATAGACAGATGTTTCAGCACCGGACAGCGCCCAGAGTCCTGGTCCTGGGACACGCTTTTTAGAAAGTTTACCTTAGGTTTACAAAAAACAGAATTACTCAGTTGTTATTGTCAGAGCAAGACTTTTGCATGAAGGAATATAGAATTTTACTCAAAAAATGATGTTTTATACTGTTGTTTTTTTTTTTTTTAGATGAAACTTATTTCCTTCTTCAGATTTTAAAATATAATTATTTATATTTGACTGTGTCATAGATGTAAAAGGTGTAAAATTTGTTCTCATTGGCTGGACTCTCAGCCCCCACCACCTCACGAGTCAGCACAAAAAGAGGTTGTGCCTCTTAAAGCTGATTAAAATATCTATTTGCTTCTCTGATGAGTGGATAAACCACCTCACAGACAGCTGTAGAACAGAAGCTGTGAGGGACTGAACAATACAAAACATTATGTAATTTTATGTTTTTTTGTTTTTATTGGTACAGAAGGAGAACCCTGATGTGTCCCTCTGCAGGATGTCTTAGTACATGTCCCAGTCCTTTCACTTGAACAAGTGACAAACAACGCAATGAAAGGTGGAGCCCGGGGCACCATCCTGCCCCCTGACACCATGGACATCATCCGGAGCAAGTCCCAGTCCCGTCGGGTGAGGTTGAACGTGGGCGGGCTGCTCCATGAGGTCCTGTGGAGGACTCTGGACAGGCTTCCCCGCACCAGACTGGGCAAGCTGAGGGACTGCAACACTCACGAATCCATCATGGAGATCTGTGATGACTACAGCCTGGAAAATAACGAGTACTTCTTCGATCGACATCCAGGGGCGTTTACGTCCATACTCAACTTTTACAGGACGGGGAAGCTGCACATGATGGAGGAGATGTGTGCTCTGTCCTTCAGTCAGGAGCTGGATTTCTGGGGTATTGATGAGATCTACCTGGAGTCGTGTTGCCAGGCAAGGTACCACCAGAAGAAAGAACAGATGAACGAGGAGCTAAAGAGAGAGGCGGAGAACTTGCGCGAGAGAGAGGGTGAGGAGTTCAGCACCACCTGCTGCTCGGAGAAAAGGAGGAAGCTATGGGACCTGCTGGAGAAGCCCAGCTCCTCATTTGCCGCTAAGGTACAGTTTGCTGCACAGTACTGTCATTATCCCAATGCTAGAGCAGATCAAGTGAACACAAGCAACCTGAGAGAAGCAGAGGGACAGCAACCAACAGCTCATACTCAAATTTTACAGTATTTCATTATTACAGTAGAAGTATTTCAGGACAGGGAGCAAAGAAACTTTAAATCTAATTTAAGACACCTTTGGGGATTTGAATACAATACATATCTAGAGGCTAGCAAAATGTGTTTTGAGAACAACTTTCTCTTGTGTTTAACCTGTCAGTGTGAGCCACAGAGCAGAGAAGAGTTATAGCAACACTCAGTTGTACAGAGCTGAATATTCCTCTTTTTGCTACTCTGTTTAGAATAATTTTCAAAACATGAAAACATGTTTTTTGATATTATCCACTGTTTGACTGTCTTTTCAATACAACCATGTAATTATTGTTTCCTTTTCACTGGCTTACATTTGTGTGCTCCCCTGTTATTAAGTTTTTTCCTCTGAAATTTGGAAGAGGATGAAAGGAGCAGCTGTATTTGTGAGAATAATGTTTGGTTGAACAAATATTACTACATAAGTGATTTTTAGACAGTCACACCGCAGCCTCCTCCCTCAGACATGACCCCACCCCCCTCCCCTGGCTTCATTAGTCCTAGACTCATACTGCTCTATATTCAATCACTCCGTTCATTAACAGCCACATCTCACTTTGGCAACAAGTCCACTTCACCTCACTAGAGCGTAGGAGGTAGTGATATGAGTTTATTTTTTTACAGATTTTAGACATAATAGTCATGTGATCTTCTATTTTAAACCAATCCAACTAAGGGGTAAAACTGAAAGATATTTAGACCTCTTGGTTCTGTTTTTGAAGCACTGTGTTTCACACAGTTGGTGCATTTACATGGCCAGTAAAAAATTTATAACTAGAATAATCAGATTACCCAGTAATTAGATCTGATTTTTGGTGTGTGTTTACATGCACAAAAGAAATCTGATCATCAACAATACCTGGTGTTAGTTAACAGTTTTATTTGTAAGACAAAGTAAAATGCATTTCAAAATAATCCTGTTTATTCAATCAAATAATGATCAGATTTTAACATGCATATAAACAAAGTCATTGCCATTAAGCTATAAACTATGCTACAACTTACTATAGTCTAATTGCACCATATAAAATGTTATGTACTTCACCAAGTGTATTTATTTTTAACAATGAACAGCCTCTATATGGCAGTTTGAATGAGAATGTAAATCATGTATACCACGAGGTTAAGTGGAGACCCAATTCATCAAATGGTCTAAATGGCTGTAGCGGGAGTTGTGTTGAGAGTTATGGGGTCATTGTATGGAAGGTACCATGTTTTATGAAGGCATTAAAAAAAACTTGTGAATGAAATAGCATGGAGGGCACATAGTGGATGTTGCACAAATGGGGCCATTATCCCATGCCTGTCTTTGCCATACGAGGAAAGCGACAATAAAAGTGCCGGTCTAGAGGTTAAATGGCTGCTATCAAAGTGTGTGTGTTTTTTTTTCTCTGAGCTAATTTAGAATCTGCATCAGTGAAAATGGGTTGTTCCCAAACACATATTCCAGCTCATTTATTTTTCAGAGCTGTTGAAATTTTAATTGCACATTAATAACGCCTGGCTTAATGCTGGAGAGAGAAGGTGTGATCCTGAATATCTATAGTCCACATGTCACTTCATCTGGACTATTTAAAGTTTATAACCTCTTTAAAAATACACTTACAGACCGCTCGTCCAGACAGCCCATTTGTCATGTCCGAGTGAAGGGCGCGGGACTTCGGGGTATCCTGGAGTGGTTTTGGGTCAGACAGTTTTAGTTCAGTTTTTGTCCAATGAACTTTTTGACATTACACTTCAAAAAGAGTCAGTTTGTAAAATTTTAGTTTAGAATTAGTAATGTAGTAATAAATTGAAAGTAATAATCCAACTTTTGCACAGTAGCGTATGTTAATGTAGATAATATAGTGATATTATTCATATTCAATGTGCATTCAGAGCAAAAACACAAACCTCAAACCTGTGTCTCTCTATAAATCATTTCCCTTGCACCTTGGCAATTGTGTTTTCAGACCCTGAAAATTTTCTCAGTCATAATTCTGCAAGTGAAGATCATTCACGTGAAATAGCAAAATAAAATTCAATTCTGTCAACTGGACAAAAGTTTTAAGTGACTTCTTCAGTTCTGGTCTAGTGTTGGTGGAAATGCGTTACATCTGTCTGAGGGAAGAGCTATCTAGACAGAACATTTGTCCAGTTTGGACAAACTTTGTGTATTACACTATAGTCATATCAAAACAAATATTTTTAATAAAGTAAAGTTTTAATAGTTGCACTTTTCTTTTTCTACCCTCTTGAGTGTAGTTTAGTGCACTTCTCTTCATCTCCTCTTCTCGCTCTGGACTGGAGCAGTACAGTAGATCAAACAATAAAAACTGACACTGAGGCCTGGCCTGGGCAGAGGCTCTTTGAACTAATTGCATGGAAACTTCTCTGGTCGGGCGTCTCTGCAGGCGTTGAGCAGCTCGCCTTAGTGCACATCAGATAAGCTCGGATGAGTTCACTTTAAGTGTTTGTGCAGTTGTTGGTGAAGTCTGAGCCCTCTGCTCCGGTCACTGTGTTCTGTTACCTGCTGTAGAAGCAAACTGATCAGATAAGAGTCATTGTAACAATGTAGAAAATCAATGGGACATAAAAAGTGAGAGAGGGTTGAGTGAGGACATGCCCTGAGGAGCCATTGGAGACGGGTGGATATGTGACTTCCCACGGCCCATTTCCCACTGAGATGTGCATGAGACGTGCATGAGAAGTGCATAAGATGTGCGTGAGAGAGCAGAGCCTCTGGGGAGATACATGCTCCTTATCTGATCAGACGATCTCTTCCACAGACTACTGTCTGTGACCTCTTCTGATCCATCACTTTTGAGCTCAAACTCCAGTGTTTATAACTTTGTGTTGCTAGGTGACTGCAGCTTTTCCTTTGTCCTCAATTGCACACAGTATGTGTCTGATGACTCTCAGGGCCTTAGGCCGTATATGGTCTGTAAGTGAACAAGTATTCTGTTTCAGTGGAAGTATAGGCAGGTTTGTGTAACATTAGTTCCACATCACAGGACTGTACACTACATGGAGTCTTCTGGATCCTCTTACTTCATTAATTAGGCACATCTGAGTAACCCGCTCAGCGTGAAAATACTGTTTTGTGCACACACTTATTGAAGCCTAGTGCCTATAAATATAACTGTACGGCACTGTTCTAAGAGGGTTCTTCATACAGTAACTTACCTTGTTGATATTCCAGGCAGCTGCACAGTTTGACATGCTGTTGAGATAACGTGGACAGCTGAATTAAACTAGCACAATGCCCAACAGTGTGTCTCTTAATATACAGAAATTATTCTGCTCCAGTTTCTCAGGAGATATACAGAAAGTTAACAGCTCTCACTCTTCCCTCTCCTGTCTTATTTTATTTAGAATAAAATAAAATAAAAGTGTTTTGTCATTTGTGGAGGAAATTATGGCAATTGCATCCTTTGCAATTTGTTAATTGCATCCATTGAAATTTCAGTATAGTTCCGATTGTGATAAACCTAATCTTCTTTTTGGGGTCACACGTAAAGACAAACTGGAGACTCCAATGAAGCTGTACACTCACAGACATTAGCATTATTGATTTAAAGAGCCCTTTGATGCAGTTTCATCAGTGTGCGGAAAGGCATAAATCGAAATTCAGCTTAGAAAGCAACATGTCCCTCAGTCCAGCTGATCAATAACAGAACCGTGAGTCGCACACTTTGAGCACTAATGTCCAGACCAAAGAGTTTTCACTTTGGTCTTCACAGGGTCACTTGAGCTTAAGCACATTGGGCACTCAGCTGTGATTAGTATGAGCCCACCCCACAGTTTAATCCTTATTAGAGTAAGATAAAAAACATAAATATAAATGAAAGGCTTTATTTGAATTGTAGTTTCACATTGAATCTCTCAGTCTTTTACTAGAAGTAAAGGTTTCTGTCTTAAAATGCTTTTTATATGGTCATTTGTTTAAGCCTCTGTCAATATCTGATATTCTCTTTATATAATTGACTTATCATTATCATCTCATCATCACATTAATATATAAATGTTTTAGACCACATTTCCACCTTTTTGTCCCTCCATCAGGGAAAAATAAATCAAAACTTGCATAAGATAATACACAATATATTTGAATGTACTTTCCTTCTTTTCCCAATATAAAGCCAACTTTTGCCCCCGGAGACCCTCCTGTTCTGCCCATTTCTAGACTGGAAATACTGTGTGCTACATTTGCTTATTTCTCACACCAGTCGGCAACACAATTCCAAATAGGAATAGAGTGTACAGTCCATAGTGCCTTCCTGTTAGCATAATCTCCTGTTCAGATCCTGCCTGTATTGCTCACACTTTAGCATTAGGCTTTTATCACCATGGGTCATTTACATAGACAAGGGGTCAATAGGAGGGGACAGAGACAGGGCTACTTTGCTGCAGAAGTTCATTCATTATTTAGCACAGCCTGTCAGTGGGAGAACATCACTCAAGGAGATGCATTGGAGAGTGGTGTGGGGCCCAGTGGTCAGCACACAAACAAAAACACAAGTTTCCAGAGAGGTGGACATCCGAGCCTGTAGCCATTGCATGGTAAATCCACTCCTTAAGCCACAATTGTACACTGTACCTGAGATTTTTCACCACTCACTCGTTGGCCTGTGACTGGAAAGGTCAGTTTGCAAAGAATAGGGGAGCTAAATAATGCAGTGAAATCAATCCACTGCTTTTGGAGACAGTCTATACATTTTATTTCTCTTTTGACTTTTGTAAGTGTGGTCAGTTTGGACATGTTAGGCCATAAGTATTCCCTTAACATACTGGGCACTGTTTAATACTTTGTTTCATAATGTTTTAACTGAATCTTCACTAGTGATCATAGAGAAACAGAAAGATGCCTTAATGTACTCT